ACCAGTTTTCTGAATACTACTTTGAGCATTACGCAAAGCATGACATGGCGTGCCAGTTACTCTGAGTTCTACTTTAATATTCATTTGTCTTTCTGTCTCTTATCTGCAGGTATGGCATTTCAAATATAGATACAACAATTGAAGGAACGTCAGATGACCTGACTGTTGTAGATGCAGCTTCACTAAGACGACAGGTATTTAGTGTACCAAATAAGATAGATTTCTCAGTTAAATTCATACAGTATTTTAAAGTGATAGTTCTCAACATTTTATCATTTTCTCTCCTGTGGGACCCATGAATTGAACTATTTTATCTGTCAAGCTAGTAAGCCATAATTGATTTTCTCGTTTTGATTAAAGATATATTAAACTACCATTTACATGTTGTGGTCACTGTAAAACAGTATTACCAAGATAGATGAATGTAATTTTGGCCGATAACAAAGAGTCTTTAGCAAACCATTACAGCCATAAGTTGCTTGTTTGGCTTTTGAAATGTGGAACAATCACTTTGGAACCTTTGTTACTGTGTTTAATAACTCCATTTTGGAAACTGCTCCTTGCAGCTTGCACAGCATCTCTGCATATGTATTTCTTGTATTCTGTAATAAATCATTTCTTAGAACTGCAGTTGCACATGTGTATTTTTTAATACTCCCACAGCCTCGAGTATCACACAGACATACACACATGTGAAGAAGGCATAGTTGGTTTTCTCATTGTGTCTATGCCAAATAGATGTAGAGGGAAATTGAATTAAATAAGATGTTTTTAGGTGAAGATCAGTAGGAGAACATGAGCTTAAGCAGGCGGTTGGTTATTCAGCCCCGGGCTTTTCACAGTAAGGGCTAACAGCAAGGGTGGTACTGTACTGTCAGCCAGCAGCATTTCCAGCAGCTGGGGAATCAGCCTTCAGGCCTGAAGGGTTTGGATGCCATATCCCAAGGCCCACTACAGTAAGTTATTTCATTGGATTGTGTCAGTAATTCAGAGGTGGACAGAGAAGGCAGTTATGCCGGGTTAAAGATGAACAACTGAGGTTGAGTGACAAGAAGTTCCTAGGAGAGACATAGGAAGGGAAAGGAATCCCGTATTCTTTGTGCTGTGGTAAGCCTGCCAAAATGCATACTGAGTCTTTTCTGCCAGAATTACAGTAGGTAACAGCTTCCTCACCTCACTTTGTAATCAAGTTAGGAAGGAAATATACCCTTCCTAACTCAGAAATCTGAAGAAGGGAAAGGGAAAGGATGTTTAAGTGAATTTGAGCTGTCATGAATGACGTGTTTTTCTATATGTAGTTGTGTTTATTTTGCTCCAGATGCAACTTTCCATGTTTGTAATAATACTTTTGTTGACAAATTATTATACTACTTTATAAGAATCTGATTGCTCTATTCATAAAAGCCTCTATATTGTATTTTTTGTGTGTTTGTTTTTCACTTAGATAATCAAACTAAATAGACGTCTACAACTTCTGGAAGAGGAGAACAAAGAACGTGCTAAAAGAGAAATGGTCATGTATTCAATTACTGTAGCTTTCTGGCTGCTTAATAGCTGGCTGTGGTTTCGCCGCTAGAGGTAACATCAGCTCTCAAAAATATTGTCTCAACAACTGGAAATATAAAAGATTTGCAAACTTCTTTGTTTCTGTCTCTGCGTTGTATGCCATTTTATAGTCCACTCCCTGAAAATGTATTTCTTCCAGAAAGTCTGGAGGAAGGAGCTGTATTTGCAGAAGTGAAGGTATATTCTGTCACTCAGCTGTATTCACGTTTGAGCAGTTCTGCAGTAACACCTGCTTAAAATTCTCCCTTTGCATGTTTTGTAAATAGGCTCCAGTTTTGTTTTTTAAAAGGAATTTATTTTTTGCCTCATCAGTCCACACAAGTGATTCTGAATAGGAGAGAGTCTGTAGAGAATTGATTTAGATAAGTGTCTGTGAAAGAAAAACAATTTTTTTGTCCTGTTTCTCAAACACTGTTAAGCAGTTTTGTTAATAGACATTTTTGCATCAACACTTCAACATTAACACTTTCAAAGTCATGGTCTGGTGCCAGATTTGAGAAACTCGAACCACCTAATATTTCATAACCTTCTTCATTAGGTACTTGTACAGATTAAGTTCTAACATTTCAGCTGTTTAATATGTGTGCAATATGTGCATTCTTTCATTTTAGTTTTGCACTTGGTTTTCTATAAAGTACGTTTTTACTCAGTTCATGTGTGAACAATTTAAAAAACTACAGAATAAGGTACAAATGTAGTGTATTTAATAAACTGTCAAGCAAAGCAGTATTTGTCTATTGGAGGATTTTATTTCATCATTTGTGCAATCAGCTACATTTTGTATCGTATTACCTTATATGAGTCTTCCTGTCTCAGGAGCAAGTAATACAATTAATGACATGGTAGGTCGCAAGAACCTACTGTGCTTCCTTTCAGACCTTCATCCTGGTATTGGTGGCTGTTGGTTGCATTGTAGGTGGTTTTCTAATTTATAATATCTATAAAGTGGTTCAGGTTTAAATACCTTGAGTTGTGTATACTTTTGTTTTTTTGAGATGGAGTCTTGCTCTTTTGCCGATGCTGGAGTCCAATGGCGTGATCTTGGCTGCCTAGAACCTCCACCTCCCAGGTTCAAGTGATTCTCCTGCCTCAGCCTCCCAAGTAGCTGGGATTACAGGCGCTGGCCACCACACCCAACTAATTTTTGTATTTTTAGTAGATACAGGGTTTTGCCATGTTGGCCAGGCTGGTCTCGGAACTCCTGACCTCAGGTGATCCACCTGCCTCAGCCTCCCAAAGAGCGGGAATTACAGCCACCGCGCCCAGCCAGAGTTGTATATACTTTTTTCATTGTGGTATTTATTTGCTAATTATATATATATACTGGTGAATTTAAATCTCAAGACTGGGTGTGGTGGCTCACGCCCGTAATCCCAACACTTTGGGTGGCCTAGGCGGGCGGATCACTTGAAGTCAGAAGTTCGAGCCCAGCCTGGCCAATACAGTGAAACCCTGTCTCTACCAAAAATACAAAAATCAGCCAGGTGTGGTGGCAGACATGGTGGCAATAGCTGTCCCAGCTACTCGGGAGGCTGAGGCAGGAGAATCACTTGAACCCAGAAGGCAGAGGTTGCAGTAAGCTGAGATCATGCCACTGCACTCCAGCCTGAGCGACAGAGCCAAACTCCATCTCAAAAAAAAAAATAAAATAAATTTTACCTGCACCAGCTGTTAGACAACAGCTACAACCAGCAACAGCCACGGGAGGTTTCCTGTCCCCACCGGTGGTGCTGTTGGAGTAAAGATTACTGGACACTATTTTTTTCGGTGAGAAGAAACATGAGAAGCAGTTGAGAGGCTACGAAGTGGATCCTGTAGAGATGAGGCATTCCCCTAGGTGGCTTTTTAAAATATTTCTTCCAGAGTCATCTACCTCATGAACAATGTTTTTGTCTGAGAAACTTCTCTTTGATTTTATAAACTGACATGATTTCTTGTTCTGTTTTGAATACACACTGCTCTAGTCCTTCAAGAAGCCTGTCACGTATTTTCACCATGTCATCGGTAGGCACTTTTTCTGCAATGTTAATGTCACTATTATGATCACCTTTGATTCAGAACCATTCAGCTATTTCCCCATGGGTTGATCAGCAACTGGAGACCCATTATCGATGTGAAAAACTTCAACATCCACTTCTTCCAGCTTACTGACAGACTCTGAAGGTATATTTTTTGCATATACAAAGAGATCAGACATCATTTTTTTCCTCACTTGACATAGGGATTCCTTCCAAGTCACCACCTTGTTTATCATCATCACTGAACATAGTTGCAGGCCAGAGGGTGTGCTGGGCATTGACAGCCGTGTCTTTAGTCACCGTGTTCTAGGCGTTGGCAACAGCATATGGCATCCTTCATGCTCAACTTGTTTTGGAAACCTTCCGCAGCCATGCCTCTGTTCACTGCTGCTAACATGCTGTTCCAATCAAGTTTTTATATCTACTCATTGATCTGAGGATACCTTGGTCACTGGCTGAATTAATGAAGTCACATTTGGGGGAAAGTACATGGCATAAGTATTTTGGAGGGTGATGAGAAAATTTGTAAGCACCATTGCTGACCCTTGTTTGCTAGAGTACAGTGAGCTGTCTTATTTTTGTTTTAATTTCATGACTATTAGCAGTTTGACAATTCATTGAATAAGTATCGAGTCTTCACTAAAAGCTGGGTACTGAAGATAGGATTCATTAATTCATTCAACTAAATACAATGTTTCTGCTTTGTACCAGGCACTGTACTAAGTACTGTTTATACCAGGAGGGAAAAAACATGTTCCTGTACCCCTGGAGCTTATAGTCTAACGGGGGACAGTGAAGTTTAAGAAGCAAGTTCAAATGAAAATGCAATCATCATTGTGATAGATGCTGTAAATGAAAGCATGGTAAAAGAGTAAAGGGAAACCTAGTTTTCATTAGACGGTTAGGAATAGCCTCTCAGAAAAAGTGGTATCTGTGCTGAAGTCAAGGATAAAGAGTGCTGCCAGAGATAAGGCAGGTGGGGGTAGGAATGGGTCTGGGGGTGGGGAAACAAGGGGCCTTGCTAAGAACTTGAAGAGGAGAGGGCTGATGAACGGGGTTCCTGTGCTCCTAAATGCTTTAGTGATGGACGTACAAACACATGTATGTTACATTATGACAGGAATGATAATAGAGCCTTGGGTAAGTGCTAACTTGGTTTATTGGATCATGAGCACTGGGAAGGCTTCCTCAAGTAGGAGGTATTTAAACTAGGCCTTAAGGATAAGTTAAGTATTTGTAGGGCTGTAGGGAGAATGTTTTTATATAGTAAATGTTCAGAAAAAAAGGCTTATAAGCTCTTGATGTTACTAAATCTATTTAGGCAGCTTTAATATAGGTACTGCAAATTATTTATAGAATCGTAAGCCCAATGAATATAAACAATTGAAATAAAGTATAGAAATAACATTCAGAAAATTTTAGATTTTTAGCTTTGTTGTTTGACAACATTTTAATGTGATAAATACACTTGTTACCCTGTTTTTTAAAGATTGGCACATATAGAAAATAGCTTTTGAAAGACTTGGGCTTTTCTAGGTATGGCTTTTTAATTAATGAAAAATGTAAACATAGGAAAATAGACGAGTGTAATGAACTGCCATATACCTATCACCTAAATATAACAGTAAACATCTTCCCGTTGCTTTTCATTGAAGTATTTTAAAAACATGTTTTCTCACCAAACATATAAATATACACTTTTTTAAAATGAGGACATTTCTGTATACAAGTTGAGAATCACTAATCCAAAAATTCAAAATCCAAAATGCTCCGAGATCTAAAACTTTTTGAGCCACTAACATAACACCACAAGTGGAAAATTCCACACCTGACCTCATGTGATGAGTTGAAGTAAAAATGCAGTCAAAATTCTGTTTCATGCACAAAGTTATTTAAAATATTGTGTGAAATTACCTTCAGGCCAGGTGTGTAAAGTATGTATGACACATAAATGAATTTTGTGGTTAGACTTGCATCCCATCCCCAAGGTGTCTCATTATTATAGGCAAAATTCCAAACTCCAAAAAAATTTGAACGCCAAAAGACATTCTGATCTTAATCATTTTGGATAAGGGATACTCAGCCTTTATACTATAAAACCAGTATCAGACCTACCAAAAGTAACAATAATTCGGTAATATCATCTGATCCAATTCTTCTACATATTCCCCCCAATTATCTCTGACAAAGTTTACATGTGTTTAGCTGAAATATGTCTCTATTCTCTTAATCTAGAACAGTTTCCTCAAAAATACTTTTATAACGTTTTCTTGTTGGAAAGGGGCCATTCTGTGCCTACTGACCCACTTTTTGGATTTGTCCTAGTGTTCCCTGCAAGCTGAGAATTAGATCTAAAGACTTGATTACATTCAGGTTATATATTTATTCTTTAAAGAAATACAATAAAAAGGACCTGTACTTTGGGTGCGATGGCTCACGCCTGTAATCACAGCACTTTAGGAGGCTAAGGCAGGCAGATCACTTGAGTCCAGGAGTTCGAGACCAGCCTGGGCAACATGGCAACACCCCATCTTTACTAAAAATACAAAAATTAGCTTGGCATAGTGGCACGTGCCTGTAGTCCCAGCTACTAGGGAGGCTGAGGCGGGAGAATCACCTGAGCCCAGGAAGTTGAGGCTGCAGTGAGCTGAGACAGTACCCCTGTACTCCGGCCTTTTTTGAGACCCTGTCTCAAAAAAAAAAAGGTCCTGTACTTTTATTTTCAGGATGACTTCTGTTCCTTCTCATCCTCCCTCTCTTCTCCTTTCGCTATACACAATGAAGAGGTAAAAAATTTGAATAGCACGATACAAAACTAATTGAAAATTCTCTCCACCTTTCCCAAATCAACCACCAATATAGAGTGTTATGCATTTCTATGCTTTCTATAATTTCACAACATGCTTTCTATGTGAAAGGTTGATTTTTTAAATCATCTCAAAGATGACTTGGAAAACAAGTGTACTTCTCAAATTATTCAAACTACTGATACTTCCATTTTATTCCCATTAAACTACACAATTTGACTTCTTCGCTTAGAGACTCCACACAGACAGCCAAGGAAACCAATGACTATCTGACTGAGCCCAAACAGGACCTCCAGAATTCCAACAAGCAATAGACCTAAAAAGACTGAGAAGTGGATAAGCCTGTGTTTGTTTTCTTCAGAATTGAAGTGCAGACTAGATGCTCTCCAGCCACTGGCCATGACGTCATTGCTGGTGGGGTTTTTGGAGCCAGTGGGAGGTACACAAGAGTCATTGAAAAACCACCGCAAGTTGAAGTCTTCTGGATGAATGTCACTGAAAAGCAAACGATACAAATCAGGTATTCAGAAAATCACTGACCAAAGGAATGTAGCATTGTGCCCATAAAAGAACTAGTGAGGCCGGGCGCAGTGGCTCACGCCTGTAATCCCAGCACTTTGGGAGGCCGAGACGGGCAGATCACGAGGTCAGGAGATCGAGACCATCCTGACTAACACGGTGAAACCCCGTCTCTACTAAAAATACAAAAAAAAAAAAAAAACAGAAAATGGCAAGTGTTGGTGATGATTTGCAGAAATTATTGGAATCTTTGTGCACTAGGGTGGGAATATAAAACAACGCAGCCACTGTGGACACTAGCCTGGGCGACAGAGTGAGACTCAAAAAAAAAAAAAAAAAAAAAACACTAGTGAAACAGAATGTACTTCTGAAATACTGTGCCCAGAAATAACAGATCGGGATTTCTGACCATGTGTCCATATACTCTACTAGTTACAAAACTTCTATTATATAGCCCATCATTTAACAAGCATCTCTGCAGTACATCTGTTAGGTTGAACAGAATGAAATTGCTGTTTTGGGATGTCAGAAATAGTTGAATGTCAACAGTTTTTCGTGGTTCAGCCTATTTTATTTATTCAGGTACTCTTCTACTTGCTAGATATAAAAACGAAGGCGCCTCCCCCGCCACCCTTTAAATGAGCTCAGTTCTTAGTGCAGATCGGCACCTGGAGTCCGCTCTTCAACCAGACGTGCAGTTTTTACTGATTAAAATGTCCGATTAAAGTGATATGTGCCTGTTGTTCACAGGGCTATGGAAAATGAGAAACTTTTAGCCCTAACACGTCTATCCCGAGATAATTTTTTGTTTTGTCTGTTGTAGAGTAAAATTGAATGTTCTTAGGGAGTTTGCATTGCTGGATACCAGCAACTGACATTCACCCTGGGAAAACAACAGTATTTTCAGCACATGAAATGGGAGTGTTTTGTGAAATGTGTAGTAAGCCAAGGATCACTCTCTTGTCACTTTGCTAGCCTAGCCCATCTCCCCAACTAGGCTGGGAATATCTGAGTGCTGCTACCTGCAGAGCTCAGCCTGGTGCCTGGTACACTGTGGGCTGTTGTCGTTCCTTGTGGATTTAATGTGCATAGCATCTGTGGTAGAAATCTTTAACCCTTTACTTCAAGTCTATTAGTAAGGAGACTTTCCTTGGCTTTGTTTGTTTTTGAGACAGAGTCTCCCTCTGTCATCCAAACTGGAGTGCAGTGGCTTGATCTTGGCTTACTGCAACCTCCGCCTCCTGGGTTCCAGCGATTCTCCCGCCTCAGCCTCCTGAGTAGCTGGGAGTAGAGGCATGCGCCACCACACCTGGCTAATTTTTGTATTTTCAGTAGTAATGCGGTTTCACCATGTTGGCCAGGCTGGTCTCAAACTCCTGACCTCAAGCAATCCACCCGTCTTGGCCTCCCAAAGTGCTGGGATTATAGGCGTGAGCCACTGTGCCTGGCCTTCCTTGGGTTTTGATTCAAAACAAATATGCTACACAAAATTTGAGGGGCTTTTCTTTTGTAATGTAGCAAGGTAAGGGAAAAGGAGAAAAAAAAAACAATTTTCTTTACGTAACTACAAAAGTAAATTCTGGTTATTTGCTAAACTGAGCAGCCTATACAGATAGCTAATGGATTAGTTTTTTTCTTCCAGTTTTTACAAATTGTGTCTAGATTCAGTCACAGAGTGATCTCAAAAGACTAAAATGAGCCACTTATTAAGTACATGTAACTCTCCAGTATTGTTTGTTATTACATGACTTAAATTTTGGATTCATTCCCATGCATACAGTATATTTATAATATGTCTGTATGAATCCATTGGTTGCTCTGTTCCATTTAGGCCTACAGGCAAGGCTCTGCATTTTATTTATTGTGTTTTTATTAAGTTTTTAAAATTGTAAATGTAATATTTGCTCATGGTTTACAAATTTAATTCAGAAGTGTAGAAAGTAAATGTTCTCTTCACTGTCCGAGGGAGTCCCCTATTTCCATTCTCCATGGATGAAAGTTAAGTTTCTGGTGTATATTTGCATAATTTTTTAATATACATACACATATGTAACTGTAGATTTTTGAAAGAGAAGCATAAGCCATTTGAGATCGGCTAGTCCTTTTAGAGAATATCTAAAAGTCCTTTTAGAGCATTGTAAATCTAAGGATTCCTCCATTTTTATGTGGGGTTGTGCTAACTGGCGTTAATGTACTAAATTCCTAAGAATCTCTGCCAGCAGTTGCATCAAATAAAAGCATGGCATACAAGTACTGCATTAGTCTAAGCCAACTAGTTCAACTGTGTAAGACAGTAAGCCTGTGAAAATCAACTTACTTACCTGATGTTTTTCAATGAAAATTCACAATTGGCAGTACTGTTGCCTTGAGAATTACACATGAGGGGACCTTCTAAGAGAGCCTGGATGGATATCAGCATGCAATACAGAGCACCAATGACTGTGATTACACTGAAAAGTGATGAAAGAAACATCTGAAAAATAAAATAGAGCCATTTGCACACATTATTACATGTTCCTGATCTGTTTCAAGTTTCAGGAGCATATGCAGTCTTTTTTTAATCCAGTCACCCTAAAATCCTGGATCTTAAGATCACAGTTTGATTAGGTGTGAATGATACAAGAAGGCAGAGGGCAAAGTCTCTGCTATTTGATTACACTCTCTAAAAGATGGTTGGGGCCAGCCGTGGTGGCTCATGCCTGTAATCCCAACATTTTGGGAGGCCAAGGTGGGTGGATCCCCTGAGGTCAGGAGTTCAAGACCATCTTGGCCAACATGGCAAAACCCCCTCTCTACTAAAAATACAAAAATTTAGCCGGGCCTAGTGGTGGGTGCCCAGCTGCTTGGGAGGCTGAGGCAGGAGAATCGCTTGAACCCGGGAGGCAGTGATCTGAGATTGCACCATTGCACTCCACTCTGGGTGGGTGACAGAACAAGACTCTGTCAAAAACAAAAAACAAAAAAACATGCTTTGGCTTGTCACTGTCTCTGAAAAATCTCAACTTTCATGTTCCTGAGCCTCATCTGTTTCTTCTGATCACTGAGATTTAGTTCCTCCCTGTTTTGTGTACTTCCTACTTCATAGAATCTTGACTGGATCTTTTTTTTTTTTTTTTTTTTTTGAGAAGGAGTCTCGCTCTGTCGCCCGGGCTGGAGTGCAGTGGCCGGATCTCAGCTGACTGCAAGCTCCGCCTCCCGGGTTCACGCCATTCTCCTGCCTCAGCCTCCCGAGTAGCTGGGACTACAGGCGCCCACCACCTCGCCCGGCTAGTTTTTTGTATTTTTTAGTAGAGACGGGGTTTCACTGTGTTAGCCAGGATGGTCTCGATCTGCTGACCTTGTGATCCGCCAGTCTCAGCCTCCCAAAGTGCTGGGATTACAGGCTTGAGCCACCGCGCCCGGCCTTGACTGGATCTTAACTACCTTTATCTTCATGCCTGGTCTCTTGGCTCCCAAGTGTTTCGCCCTGATGCTTTAAGTGAATTTGACCCTGATGCTTTAAGTGGCCAGTGGCCAGCATCCTGCAGTGATCAGTCATCAGCATAGAGTTAGAACAGGACTTCCCAACCTCAGCACCAGTGACATTTGCACACTTTGCTGTGGGGCCTTTCCTGTGCAGTATAGTATATTTAGCAGCATCCCTGCTTTCTACCTCATAGATGCCAGTATCACCCCCCCACACACACCCCTGCCACCTCCAGCCCAGTTCTGACAACCAAAATTGTCTCCAGACATTGCCAAATATCCTCTTGGGGTGGAGGTGGGTGGGTAAAATAACCCGCCGGTTGAGAACCACTGTGTTACAAAGATCGTACACATCTTTATTTCATGAGTCAGTCATGAGAACAGAAGAAGGCATGGAATTTGGCATAGGAAATGGAATGAAAGTTAGCATTTGTTTTTCAAAAACTAAGCTCTTAGGCCAGGCACGGTGGCTCGTGCCTGTAATCCCAGCACTTTGGGAGGCCAAGGGGGGCAGATCGCTGGAGCCCAGGACTTCAAGACCAGCCTGGACAACATATTGAGACCCCATCTCTAAAAAAAAAAAAAAAAAAAAAAAAGGAAACTTTTGTATTGTTTCAGTGAAGTTGTTAGTCACTGATGATGATTTCAAAATCAGCAGAAATGAAGTGAGGGAATGCTTTTCCTTTTCCTTTGCGGGAATAATGCAACCCCCCACAGGATTTGTGTGTTGTATTCTTGAGACCTGCCTTTGGTGAGTGCAGAATAAGGCGACTACCTATAGAGTTGTGTTGAGGGATGTTGTACTTTACATATATTATTTAATTCTTTTCATAACCCCAAGAGATAGATACTATTATTATTTCCATTTTATGGATGAGAAAATTGTGTATCATGGAGATGGACGAAACTTGTCAGGCTCTCACAGCTGGGAAGCATTTTAATCACTATACTTCTTGCAGCCAAACGTTCACAGTGATGGATTTCAAGTCTACTTCAAATCCTGATTCTTCCATGCTACTGTGACTTGTGCAGTTACTTAAATTTACTCATCAAGAAGTGCCATGATGTTTATTTTTAGCCATCTATTTTATATATATAATATATAATTATATATAAAATACATTTCTATATAACTATATACATTATATTTACATAATTATATATTACATATACATAATTATATATATATTATATATAAATTTTTTTTTGAGACGGAGCCTTTCTTTGTTTCCCAGGCTAGAGTGCAGTGGCGCTATCTGGGCTCACTGTAACCTCTGCCTCCCGGGTTCAAGAAATTCTCCTGCCTCAGCCTCCCAAGTAGCTGGGATTACAGGTGTCCACCACCACACCTGGCTAATTTTTATTTTTATTTATTTTTTTTTATATTTTTGGTAGAGACAGGGTTTCACCATGTTGGCCAGGCTGGTTTCAAACTCCTGACCTCAAGTGATCCGCCCACCTCAGCCACCCAAAGTGCTGGGATTACAGGCGTGAGCCACCGCGCCTGGTCGTATTATCTTTGAGTTCTCATCACTTGACAAAAGGCCTGGCTTTAGAAAGTGATTCCAGGCATCTGTATTTCCCCTAGAGGCGATTCACTTAAATGATTCAGCAAAACCATTTTGTATTCAGAAGCAAAATTAAGAACTGGAAAAAGGGAAGAAGCAAGGAACAGTTAAAACAGGGGACAAGCCTTGGTCAACCCTTTCCCTTCCTCCCAAGATGTAGCCTTTGCCACTCGTCTCATGTTTTGGTCTTATCTAGGCTTCAAAGACACCAGGTACGACTTAAACACCAGTTCTTAGAGGATACACCCATAGGAAAAGCCTATGTAAGTGTTTTGATATTTTTGATTTCAGGAATTCAGAAATGTCTCAGGATGTCGAGAATGTTGTGAGCACCATATAGAAAAGATACAAAGTCAAATTCCAAATTGTTATCATTTACAAAGAAAAGTGACAGGGAAGGGAAACTGAAAATTAGTGTTTATTGAATACCTAAAATGTATTCAGAACAAAAATAGATGAACTAATTAGCATAATTATTGTAATCCTAGGTAAATATCAAATGTCAGAAAAAAAGGGTAATTTTTAAAAATATGAATCTTCCATTATGGATAGAAATATCTGGCTTTTTTTTTTTTAAGCCGTGGTTCTAACCCCTGGCCGAATTATCTTGAGTGCTTTTGAAAAATACTGATGCAGAATCTCTGGGGGCCACCCAGGCATTGGTATTTTTTAAATCTCTTGAGATGATTCTAACAGAGTCTTACTCATCTATTGCCCAGGCTGAAGTGCAATGGTGCGATCTTGGCTCACTGCAACCTTTGCCTCCTGGGTTCAAGCGATTCTCCTGCGTCAGCCTCCTGAGTATCTGGGATTACAGGCATGGGCTGCCACGCCCAGCTAATTTTTGTATTTATAGTAGAGACAGGGGTTTCACCATGTTGGCCAGGCTGGTCTCGAATTCCTGACCGCAAGTGATCCTCCCACCTCAGCCTCCCAAAGTGCTGTGAGCCACCGTGCCCGGCCTAATGTTCCCATCCGAGAACCATTGCTTTGAAAGCTCAAACTCGGCCAAGCAGATTTACTGTGACTGCTTGCTTTCAATCTACCTCTTCCACAGGGAACTATGAGAGCCCTTATATTGCTTGATAGCCATGTTCAGGGCATAAAGATTGTGAATTGTGGGGTGCCCCAGTGGTTTTGGATAAAAATCCACTTACTAGTGTGCTACACTGGCAAATTATTTACTTTCTCTGAGCATCCGTTCCTTCATGAATAAAACACACATCTTACTTTTTCCTACTTGAGGGTTTTGTGAGAGCATATCTGAAGGTGTTCTGAGCAGAGTGACACTCAGGTTAATGAATCTTAATTTACTTTTAATTTCATTACGACTTTATACATAGTGGGTAGGTATTAAATGTTTTGGGGGGAAAAAACCTGGCAGCTCCTTTGATTGAACTGGATAAGGGCAGTTGTCATTCTAATCCCAGCAAACCAGTCTGTCATTGCATGAGAGAACTGAGTCCATTTCCCCTGAGTATTTTATATACGCCACAAAAATATCACACCTGAGTATTATGAAACTGATTGCAGATGTGGGTGTGACTTATAAATCTCCTTTCTTTGAAAACCTTAAATTGAGGAAAGGACAATCCACCAAAGACTGAGGAAGGGGCAGAAGGCCGACTCTAACTGTTTGTGGGACAAAAAAACCCTTCTCACTTTTTCTATTTCTATATAATCATCCTAAATAGCGTGTTTTGGCCAGGCTCAGTGGCTCAGACTTGTAATCCCAACACTTTGGTAGGCTGAGGTGGGCAGATCCCTTGAGGTCAGGAGTTTGAGACCAGCCTGACCAACATGTTGAAACCCCATCTCTACTAAAAATACAAAAATTAGCTGGGGCGTGGTGGTGCGCACCCATAGTCCCAGCTATTCAGGAGGTTGAGGCGGGAGAATTGCTTGATCCCGGGAGGCAGAGGTTGCAGTGAACCGAGATTGCACCACTGCACTCCAGTCTCGGCAACAGAACGAGACCCTGTCTCTAAATAAATAAATAAAAATAGCATGTTTCTAAGGCTGTGGTTCTGTCAACGGAGCCCCACTGTGATTCGATAGACATAAGTGACTCAGTGTGGCTTTGCTTAGATAGCAATAACTGTTTATGCACTTCTGCTTCCATGCCGACTGCTCCATACTTACTCCAGTTCTGTTGTTGCAGCATGCTCTTTTTCTTGCTGTCAAGGACATTGTTGTTGCTGGAATGGCCTGGAAATGACATCAACAGGAAAGATGAGTATTATTACTTCTCATCAGAAGAAAAAATAGTAATCTTCACCTTCCATTTACCACCGGTTGTGGGAAATCAAGCCTCAAAGAACAAAAAGGGAATTTGGCAGTATCCGTGGTTTTGTGAACCTTGTCATCCCAGTTTCAACCAGAAAGATTAAAAGTGGTGGTGGGAACGGGGGAATTCAAGACAGCAGTTTTGAAGTCTTCTATCTACATTCTTAGTTCACTCTGAGTCATCTGCAGAGAACTAGATTTTGAATAGATTAGGATGACTTATTTACATATTATTTTTGGAAGAAATGTTTCTGAAAGAATTGGCTGCATCATCCAAACTCTGTTAGTTGTTTGTTTGTTTAAAGAGTAGGGGCCTCATTCTGTTACCCAGGCTGGAGTGCATAATATATTACTATATTTTTTTTTTTTTTTTTGAGACGGACGCTCTCGCTCTGCCAGCCCAGGCTGGAGCTGCAAAGTTGGTCCGGATTCAGCTTCATCCTGCAAGCTCCGCCTCCCGGGTTCCGCCATTCTCCTGGCCTCAGCTCCTGAGTAGCTGGGACTACAGGCGCACGCCACCGCCGCTCCGGCTAGTTTCTTTTTTTTTGTTATTTTTACGTAGCAGACGGGGTTTCACCGTGTTAGCCAGGATCGGCTCTCGACATCCTGACCTCGCTGATCCGCCCTTCTCAGCGCTCTCCCAACAGCTGCTGGGTATTACAGGCTTGAGCCACCGCGCCCGGACCTCCAAAAACTATATTTGGAGAATTATTTCTGTTGGTTCACCGTTCTCCTTTCTCTCTTCCTAATATCCATGACTAGTAATTCAATCTCACTTTATACATTGATGCTCAGAAATCTAAGATCGCATC